AGAGGTCGGGAGTTCAATTAAAAAGGAGGCACGAGGAAAGAAAACTTATGAAAACAATGTATCTCGGTTCCGGCCGCTTTGGGGGATGCCCCGGCACCGGATATACAAAGTCAAGGATAGCACCGGCATCGTCCCGTGGAGGCTCCATTGCCTCCTTGATACGCTGCGTCACTTCAGAGGGGGAGAGTGCTCCCTCGGTGAGCGTTGTCCTGTCGAGTGATGCCCCGGGCGCCATCATGTGCAGGGAAAGAGCACGCCTCATCAGCGATGCCACCCTCCGCATGTGATAGGCGCCGATGATCCCCTACCCCTTCACGCCCCTCTCCTTCAGAATTCGAACGGCGGCGAGATGGTCCTGGATCTTCTTCTTGTCTTTCTCTGGGACTCCCCACCTCCTCCATGATTCCGGGACCTCTTCGATGAGGCGCCCGGTGAACTCTGGCAAGGGGACGGCTGCGTCGTTCTTGATGTAGAACCAATGAGAATGCCACCCCTTGTTGGAGGTCGACAGACGCATCAGCAGGTACTCGCTAACCCTGTTGTTGTGTAGTTGAATACTGGCACATCGCATTGGCACGTTCAGCTCCTGCTTCTTCTCCCGCTTCTTTAGGAGGGTGACGGCGAAGAAGTACCGCCACAAGTCAAAGTGGGGACTAATCCCTAGGAACCCCTCACATAGGGCGACGAACACCGCAATGTGATGGATTTTGTTGGGATTAAGATGTTGTGGCTCCACCTTGTAGTAGTGTAGCAAGCCCTGAAGAAACTTATGGGCAGGGGTGGCAAATCCCCGCTCGTGGAAGTGAGCGAAGGATATGACATACCCATCAGGCGGCAGTCCATGCACAAAGAAGGCCATGGCGAACGAGGCCCTCTAGGCGCTGAAGGGTGATATCGAATCTGCACCACGGCTCCATTGAATGATTGGGGTGGGTGGATGCGAACTTGATGGCGGCTGAGATGCAGACACGGGAGGCTTAGGCGATTGGCGGTGGAGGTTGTAGATGCGAAGGCAAGGAGGCAATGTGCGAAACCCTGGGGGCGAACGCTTTGGTTTTATGGGGGCGACGGATGCGAGGAAGTCAACCGTCTGCCTGGATCTTTGTGCCTACCATGATTCACCGCCACATCACCACGCGGGATATGCGCCCATAATCCCTATCCTTTCCCTCCAAAATCACGCCGGGCGTTTTGCCTCCCCAGGCAGACCAGGACTCTTTACCAGTAAAAGGATACAGGTCAAAAAGCGTTCCTCCAGCCCGGTTGGGCCTAGGAGTTTTAGGGCTGGCCCATCAACGGTTTCGACAGCCGTTCCAAGGCATCCTTGCGACAGAAGGATGGGCCCACGATTGGCCAAAACTCAGGCGCACAAGCTTCACGAGAGTCTCAGTCCGCGATCGAGTCTCAGCTGGGCTGACTCTGACCGGATCCCCACGAATGGGATGTTAGGATCCCAATTAAGCTATCCGGCTAAATAACCACCAAATCTCACGACCATACCCACGGAGGGTCCGACCTCAGCGAAGAAGAAATTGCATCTTCAGAGCACGCCGTGGGCGACAATGGACGGCTAGGGCTCTCAGAATCCTCTATTTTGGAAAACCCTCTGAAGGAGTATCCTACTCCTCCGCAGGCTCGGGGGCTACACCCACCGGGTGCGCTCACGCGTACCCGCTGGCAAGTAAAAAATCCCTTAGGTGATTCTGCTCGAATCACTCGGGGGCTCAGGGGCTACTGTCGGGGACCAATATTAGGATATCCAAAGAGGAGGAGCTAACAACTATCGAATGCTGACTCATCCGCACAATCAAGAGCGCGACTACACCGCTTACCGGGTCACTCCTCGTCCATCCACCAGGACCATGGGCCCCACCCCAAGCAGACTCCACCTCGCCCAACGTCCGGGGGCTGGCTCCACCTCGCCCGACGTTCGGGGGCAGGCTCCACCTCGCCGATGTCCGAGGGCTGGCTCCGCCTCGCCCGACGTCCGGGGGTTGGCTCCACCTCGCCCGACGTCCGAGGGCAGACTCCGTCTCACCCGACGTCCGGGGGCTGGCTCCGCCTCGCCCGACGTCCGAGGGTAGGCTTCGTCTCGCCTGACCCCCGGGGTCACCCTAACATCCGAGGGCTGGCTCCGCCTCGCCCGACGTCCGGGGGCAGATTCCGCCTCGCCCGACGTCCGGGGGCTGGCTCCTCCTCGCTCGATGTCTGTGTGCTGCTCCTTCATAACTACGCGCACAGATAAGGCAGGACACTCAAGTCAACCGCAATACCGAGGACCCTACCCTGCACCATACCCTGCACGCCTGTAGAAAAGTACCGATAGGATATGACAAGACGGGCGCTTTAAGGCCCTTTCGGGCATGTCAGAGCCCAAACAGTGTTGTGGGCGCCGACATTTGTTTTACAGTGTTGTGGGCGCCGCCATTAGCCCTTGGGCGCAGATCCTGACAGAACCATACGACAACCACTACGGTCCAAGAGGAGACTCGCGTCCTCTATAGTGATGGACATGCAGTCATTGCGCCGTCCGCTCCCCATAGGGTTGCGGATCTACACCTCGGTCCGTCGCGCCGCTCGCCGGGGTAGGATGGGACGCGGCCACTTGCTGATCAAGCCAGAGCATGGCATCATCAACAGACAGACGCTCAGTAGGGAGCTATCCCTGGGACAGTCTGCTATGTCAGCAGGGCTAGCTCAGAGAAAAAGGAAGACCTTTCTTGGCCTCTGGTTTTTCTCCTTTCTCCCATCTGTAATCCCTGTTTCCCCTTGGTCTATAAAAGAGAAGGCAGGGCACCCCACTAAGACGACAGATCAATAAAACACACCACGCATTATATAACATACGGTTGAGTAGCAACCAAGCTCTTAGCGTCATTTCAACCTTTCCATCAAAGACTTGGGACCTGTCCCTCTCTCGTCCGTTTGTAACTTCTACTATGAAACTTTCAGTGCTAATAACACGAGCAGCAGCCGCAAACTGGACGTAGGGACATTCTGCCCAAACCAGTATAAACCTTGTATCTTTTAGCACACCATCCAGGCCCAACGCGCAATAATACAAATTTACTCATTGGTGTTTACTCAAAACACCGACACTAGGTATTAATGATACTGTGTGGGTGTCCATCCCGTCCGGGCGCCACGCACCTGGGCCTACGGCCCAATTAGACCGACACTGATGTCACCGAAGAAAAGAAGACCGCATCCATTTCCACCACCGCGTGCCCCCCGCCGCTCGCTGCTGTGCCTGCCCGCGCGCGCTCTCCAGGAAGGACGCCACGCTCGCGTCCAACTCGCTGCCGCCTCGTCTGCCCGTGCTCCCTCCCTCCGTCCCCCCCTCGGCGACCTCCATTGTGACCCGGCTCCCGCTCCCCCCACCTGAGACGAGGACGGCGGTGGTGGCTCCGACGAGGTAGTTCGGTCCTTCTCTAAATCTGAGCCTCCTCCTCCTCCTCTGGATCTAAGCCCTTGTCCTCCTCATCCTCAGACTCCTCCTCTGGATCTGAGGGACGCGGCGGTGGCTAGGGTTCCGTCGAGCTCTAGGGTGATATTTCGTCCTCTCTGGCGAGCTCGAAGGTGATGGGCCATGGCTGGAGCAGAGCCCATCCCCTTGCTGTTTTGCACATCCTTTTTTGTTGTTTCTCCGTGTTGCAATGGTTTTTTGGATGTTGCAACAGATGATTGTATAATGTTGCAATGGGATTTTTTTGTTGTTGCAACAGATGATTTTCAAATATTTCCATTTCCATGTTTCATGGTTGATTTTTACGATGTTGCAGTACTACTATTTTAGATGGTGCAGTACATAATTTTTGATGGTGCAGCACATAATTTTTGATGTTGCGGTACATATTTTTCGATGTTGCAGTACATGTTTTTCGATGTTGCACTACATATTTTTTCTATGTTGCAATGCATGATTTTCGATGTTGCAGCACATTCCTTTTGTTGTTGCAGTGCATATTTTTTCGATGTTGCAGTACATGTTTTTTTTATGTTACATTACATATTTTTTCGATGTTGCAGTATTTATATTACGATGTTGCACTACATAGTTTTTTCATATGTTTGCGATGGGACAGGGGCACGGTGGGAGAACGGGGTGCGTTGGGGAACGAGGACATGGGCGCCGTGGGGGACGGGGCGCCGTGGGGGAATCGGACGCAGTGGGGGAACGGGGACAGGGGCGCGGTGGGGAACGGGAATAAGGGCACGGTGGGGAACAGAGTCAAGTGCGCGGGTGGGGAACGGGATGTGGCGGGGAACGGGACGCGGTGGGGAGCACTACTTGGGACCTGCGTCCGGATGCCGCCAAGGGGCCGAACGTCCGGGCAAGGTATTCCGTTAATTATATGGTAGTTTGTCGTAAAAGATCTTCGAGCCCCACAACAATCTACCTTACTTTGAAACTAGCTAGTAGCTAGATGAAGGAGATGTCCATCCGATCCGTCGTCAGCCGCACTGTCGTCATGGTGTGTGTAGCCATTTCAGTGGCATGAATTGTTTTTTTAGAGCTCAATACACAGCTTACCTAGAGAGAGAAACTACTATACATAGATCGAGCATAGATAGAGAAATCTTACGTGGTGTTGATCTGTGGTACGTTCAGAGATTTGTTAGTGTTAAACTATACTAAACAGGAGGTTACAGTCGTCAAGACTCTAAGGCACACAGCAGTTCAAGTCAAAAAGATCAACAGGCCAGGTCAGCATTTCAATAGAAACCACCCTCTCTCTCTCTCTCTCTCTCTCTCTCTCTCTTCCAGACGTCCTTATAAGCACACCACCGCTGCTCTCTCCCCTTGCTCCCAAGGCCGGCCCCTACACTAGACACATCCCACTCACTATCGCTACTAGTGTGCGTCCATCTCTCCGCTACATTCCACGCATTGCACCGTCTAAGCTCACTACGAGATAACGAGCGAGAACGCCCTTATTACAAGAGACAGCGCGCGCCAACCTCAGCTCAGCTCGTCACGAACACGACACGCCAGCAGCATGGTGATGCCTTCCACGACGCCGGCGGTGCGCCAAGAAACGCCGCCGCCGCTGCCGCCGCCGTCCCACGACGGCATAGGCATACCGACGGTGGACCTGTCGGCGCCGGGCGGCCGCGGCGCGCTGTCGCGGCAGGTGGCGAGCGCGTGCGCGGAGCACGGCTTCTTCCGGGCCGTGAACCACGGCGTGCCCCCGGGCCCCGCCGCGCGGCTGGACGCCGCCGCCAGGACGTTCTTCGCGCTGCCGCCGCACGACAAGCAGCGCGCTGGCCCGCCCAACCCGCTCGGCTACGGTTGCCGCACCATCGGCTTCAACGGCGACGCCGGGGAGCTCGAGTACCTGCTCCTCCACGCCAACCCGGCCGCCGTCGCGCACAGGGCCAGGTCCATCGACACTGACGACCCCTCGCGATTCAGGTATACAAAACATACCTACGTACTCTACCTCACTCTCGTATATACAGTGGCGGAGCAAGAGAAAATTTAAGAGAGGTACGCTAACCTTGTGATTGCATAGATTTTTACGATATAGGTGCGTATATGGTGGAAAATTGAACATTATCATTGTTTTTTTTATTTTTGGTGGGTGCGGCCGCACCCCTTGGCATGAACATGCCCATGCGTATATGTGCACACTATATGCATGCATGTACATCTTTCATCTTTCATATTTGTGATCAAAAGGTTTATATATATATCGATGATATATATATATCTATAATCAATATAGGTATTTATATATATAGGATATATATATATATATATATATATATATATATATATATATATATATATAAAGTCGTGAAATGATTGCTAGTTACTGCGAAACCACATTTAGAGATCCATGCTCGAGTGAAATCTTCGAAGCTAGCTAGCTCATTTTACGCACACATTGACACATATATTTAGAGCTAATTTTAGGTGTTGTGTTGCATTGTCGTCGTTAAGTTTTCATCAGTATTGCTCTTCCAACTTTACAGTCAAACTAAAGTATGTATACACAGCATACGTGTCGCACTCTCTGTCATGGTGATTTATGCTAATAGGCCTTGAGGTTTTAAAAGCTTAAGCTGTCAAAGAGAGACATACGCCAAAGGAACGAACAGGGGTTGTGAGGTGGTGTTAATGTTGATGGCTACCTGGAGTGTCATGCTCCTCTGCACTGTGCCTGCAGTGCTCCTTAATTAACCAACAGCCTATGCTGCTGACAGTGTGTGATAGATGTGTGTGTGGTTTGCATATCATAGTCCTACACCTGTCGGAATGTCTCGCTTGATGCTAAGCTCTCAGCAGCTAGCAGATGCATTAGTATAGTAGTGAGAGTAGGTTTATTTTTGTAAGGTTTTCCTATCTTTTGTGTGTGGAAGGTGATGCAAACATTTGATATATATTAAACTTTGTTGCATATTATAGTTAAGGACTTAAGGTCAACACATGATGTGTACATGCATGCATGTTTGGCATAGTTTTATTAATTCCCTGCTCATTTATAATATTGGTACTTGGTCGTTTAGAAGTCAAGAGCACTTGGGGTATCATGCATGTATGCCCTCCTCTGAAGTGTTAGACTTTCTGAGAAAGCATCCTTTGATAATTGATAGTGCAAACTTTTTTCGACAGAAAAGAGAATAATAGTTCGACAGCAATGTGGGCATTCGAAGTCCAAACATATATTAATCTGAATATCACACTTTAAATGGATAGAAAAGAAAGATAGTTCACTCAAGATTCTTACTCATAATTTTTAACTTTACTGGTTTTTTTTAGTTGTATGCTTTTATCCGTGACTATGATAGCTTTAGGGGGATGTTCCTGTACAGTTCTTGGTAGAACTAATATCTATGTTGTCATAGTCAGAAAGGCCCCCATCAAATAAATTGTGCAAATGCATAATTATCACAATAATGGCACAATTGATGCCACAATGGGCAGAGCAATGATATGTTAGTTCCAACAATTCAAGAGCATACATAGTAGTAGCTAGTTTCTAAAGCAAAAGAAAAGGCACAAACTGATGGGACATAACAAACTTGACGGCTCCTCAGAATGGGCTTGGGGCGATTTTCTGATGAAAGTTAGGTATAATTGCCTTGCCAAAAGAACATTCCAAAGGCTTACAATCGACTGCTTTTCATTTTGCACTGAGAAATATGGCTTGTACATTTTGCTTGTGAGAGGGACAACCCTTGCCCATGCTGGGAAAACATTTAAATGCCTAACAATTGACTGAACATAACAGATGAGATATCTTTAGCTATTTCTGTGCATTCGGAAGGAGAAGATCTCATCCAAACAACAATGCTAGCCTGCTAGGAGAGATCCCACACACTACACTCAGGCCAGGCAGTGGCCTAATTCAATAGAGTTGGTTGAGAGCAAATAAAAATGAAAGGGACAAGAAAACCCTCCCTCTAGTTAGAAGACCCCTCTCAGTGTCAGGTCCCTCTCCAACAAACTATATGTGTATTTGCATGTCAATCAGTCTTACATATCTGCGGTGCAGTGGTCTTCAATTAATGGCCATACCCAACCACCAATTGATGCAGCTAGCAACAGAACCCATTGCTATTGGATAGCACTTACAACTTTTTCAGTGAAGTACACTAAGTTCCATACAGAAAATGATGTTTTAGATGGCCACAGGATATACATCATATATGATCTTGAAATGAATTCCCTTTGTTCTCTATCAACTAGACATGAATCACTGATATATTGCCAATGTTCCAATATTCATAATATAGCAGCTATGAAGAAGTAGAAGGTTGCCTTGATCACATAAAAATCTAAGCTTACAGGCACAGCAGTTGGGAAACATACAACTGTAAAATGCTATTGCATAAAAGAATGCTAGCAACAAGAATAAAAATAGAAATGGCATCAAAATCTTTCAGTAACCATTTTGCCATAGAACGCAGGTATTGGTAAAAGCAAGTAGGGTCCACAGAAGTACAGAAGCTTGATAGGAAATAAAATGCACCCCAGGGCCCCCTAAAGAGCATATCCATGCTATCCATATAAAGCCAAGCAAAGGAAAGGAGGCACACATGCAACGGGTCCTCTTTATGGCAAGATGAATGAGATGTCCCGGGGTACGTAGTGGCAGGGGCAGTGATGAGTGATACCAAGCACTGATGAGTCTATCCATGGAGCAGTGGAAAAAGCATGCCCAATCCTGTCGAAAAACCCCATTTGCCCATTGGAAAATTGGTCACACCAAAGTTTCATGTACGTCTGATCCAGAGCTATCCATGCATCACAAGAACCGAATATGTATAGCATGTGACTGGATTCTGGTTCTGCTGCATAGCTCAGATGCATCCATAGCATCAAGCTACCGTCTTTTCAAGGCTGCAGCTTTTGAGTTGCTGCATATTCATACATCAATCAGTCAAAATCTTCTCATCTTTCTTCAGTCTCCTTTTTCTCTGCCATGGCACACATCCAATTGGTCTTCGTGATAACTCTATTCTATTGATCAAATCGATCTTGGGCAGATTTTAACTCACATGTTGATGCTTTTTCTTCACTGTTGTTGCAGTAATGTGGTGAACGAGTATGTGGGAGCAATGAGGCAGCTTGCATGTGAGATCCTGGACCTGTTAGGAGAGGGGCTAGGGCTCAAGGACCCCAGATCCTTCAGCAAGCTCATCACTGACACAGACAGCGACTCACTCCTGAGGATCAACCACTACCCTCCAGCATGCACCATTCAGAAGCTTGACCATGAAAACCAATGCAAGATGAAGAGCAGTTTCAGAATCAAGACTGGCAATGGTGTGAACCAGTCGGCAGGTGCACGGATCGGATTTGGGGAGCATTCAGACCCACAGATTCTTAGCTTGCTCCGATCAAACGATGTTGATGGCCTTCAGGTGCTTCTGAACTGTGACGGCAGGGAGGTGTGGGTTCAGGTGCCAGCCGATCCATCAGCATTCTTTGTCAATGTTGGTGATCTCCTCCAGGTAAAGGCATCGGTTTACCTGAAAATAAACAGCACTAGTAGATTAAGTAAATGAAAATTCCTTCTATGAGCTACTTAGAAATTAAATTAGCAGACTCTTAAGTCTAAAACAAGCAAAGAGGCTAGGCACAACTCAGCACCCCCACCATTAGTGCTCGCATATGAAATTGCATTATGCAGCTCCCGTCTGTGCATCATAGAAATAGATTCTTCACTTACTAAAAACATGAAAAAGAAATGTATCTGTATTTGATTCGAACTCTAAATAGACACCAGGTTAGCTATTGCTCCTTTTGTGAAAAGATGGGTCGGCACTGATATTTTTTGGACACATCGCTTGCACTGCATCAAGTACATCGTACCAACTGACAAGAATTTCTGTTTTTGTCTTGTTAGTTGTTACTACATCTGAATCTAACAATAACCAGATATTAATCCATAGTGCAACAATACAATATTATGTCTCTCGTACTTGGTTTGTATTCATCTCTCTTTTCCCTTTCTTGTTCCCAGGCTTTGACAAATGGGAAGGTGATAAGTGTCCGACACAGGGTAATTGCAAGCTCCTGCAGGGCAAGGCTGTCCACAATCTACTTCGCTGCGCCGCCACTGCATGCACGAATTTTGGCCCTCCCAGAGACAGTCACAGCCAACTCACCCCGCCAGTACCGGCCCTTCACCTGGGCCGAGTACAAGAAGACAATGTACTCCCTCCGCCTGAGCCACAGCCGCCTCAACCTCTTCCACATCGACCATGATGACCACAGCAATGTCGGCAAAGGAGAACAAGAATAGGGAGCACTTGCTGAACTGCAGGCAGAGTTTATGGTGGGGACTAGGTAGGTAGAATTGTCCCCAAAATTTTGGCTCTCTGGCTTCCACAGCCAGATATCTAGTATTATGATGGTGTAGGGTTGTGAGTCTGTAAGGGCGGGCCTGGTGCAAGCGGTAGAGTCTTACCGCCTGTGACCGGAAGGTCCCGGGTTCGAGTCGCGGTCTCCTCGCATTGCACAGGCAAGGGTAAGGCTTGCCACTGACACCCTTCCCCAGACCCCGCACAGAGCGGGAGCTCTCTGCACTGGGTACGTCCCTTTTTTTTAGGGTTGTGAGTCTGCCAATGTGTAATAGTATTTAGCATTGTACAGAAGTCCTTGTTGTATGGTACTGATGTACTATTATTGCCTGTTTTAGCAGTTTGTTGTCTCCACCTAACTTTTATTTACTCTCCCCCTTTTCTAGTGTTGCCTTCGCTTAAAGAAACCTCTTCCTTGCACAAAAGTGAGACCTAACTCAGACTCCTGCTGACAATTTTGATACAGTATCCTTTTTTAAGAAATCTAAAATTAAAGGCTAAAAGGACTTCAAATGTCACATATGCTACAAGAGTTCAAGGAAGTGATAGAATGTTCCAGTAATTAAGTCTGCAAACCCATTCCATCACAAACTATTCCCCACTCTTTATCACCTTCATAGTGCAAATATTGACCCAAATTGAAATATATTAATACTATCTATATGAATAATAAGTACATCTTTCCTCGAACACACAGGAGAGCTGTGTATCATTATATTAAGAAGAAAAGGAAAGCAGATTGACTCCATACAAAAATCCACTCACTCGTGCCTCACACCTTGCAGTGAGTTACACATGCCCATAAACAACCCGACCACATCCTAGAGCCTTCCAGGGCGCTTGCCTCCAACTGGCTCAAGGGTAGCATTATTTAACTGAATGGACATAACAAGACATAAGGACATAATTCAGTTTCAAATCATAGGTAGTGAATAAAAAATAAGTTAATTTTGGTTAACTGCCAATCTTCATGACATCAGAATCAAAGTAAATTACCAAATGTGGATTCAACAAAAGAATAAGCCAATGTGTGGAGGATAATGGTAAAGGGGGCATATATCACAATACATCCTGAAACGGGGTTTATGGTGATCGATTTACAAAAGAATGGCCTATTTCAATGATATTTCTACCCAAGTTGGTTTTGATGTCCTCAACTGTCCATATTAAATGATAAGAGAACAAAAAAGCATGATTTGAGCAAATCAATGTATTGGCCCCTCTCATATATAGTCACACACCTACAGTCTTTCACACTGTTATACAGTGTGAACCTCTCTGATTGGGGTCTTTCACACTGTTATACAGTGTGAATCTTTCTGATTGAGAATCAATACCTTACATTGTATGCGATGGCAAGAAAAGATAGAGACTCAGTGATTTTACCTAAGGATGTCGAATTTAGCTGCATGGCTTCTTTCCAAAAAAAACAAAAAGATAGATAGATAGATAAATTGGCTGCACGGAGTGAGTATGCCTCAACTATTATTTTGGGAGAGGTATTAGGCAGCCCTCGAGCAGCTCAAGGTCCTATTTGGAACCTAGAATGGCAGTTCCGTGTTTGTTACTACAGCATAAACAATAAGAGCCTTGCCAAGATAGTTTTCTGATTGATTCTCCATGCAGGATGCCATCGTCATAGCTGCATGAGCCATGATTGCAGTTGACCAATGCATTTATAGCTGTTCAAGACAGCTCTAATCGCCGCATATTCATGCAATCTATTTGAAGAAATAAGGTATAGTGATCAGTAACAGGAAAAAAAAACTTGAAAGGTATTTCTGATAATGGCATATACATGTCAAAATGGAGTAAACTGAGATCCAACATCATGATAACACAGAATTAAAAGGGGTTGACTCTTGTTAGAACAGACATGTTCTGGTGGATTTTAAAAAAAAATGTGAGACCTCAAAGAAAAAATAGGCCTATGGTATATATATATGCTGCCAAACAGGTGACAAAAGGTCTCCATAGCGAATTGTAAATATTGACTGCACTGGTTGCGTGCAAGACTGCAATGAAAAAGCATAGACTAACTGTATAAATTACAATCACCAGTGAACAAAATTTCAGTACTTCTAAAGATGCTTTATGAGTATTTTGATGCTGATGGAAAAAGAAGAAGATATTTGTGTTTTGAAGTAGTAGGTATTAAGTTGCTTGAAGTCAGAAGGTCAGCTGAACACTAGAATTTAATGAAGAAATAAGATGTCGATTAGCATCTGCATTCCAACGGATCCCTGAATACTTCCAGGCTTCCAGCTCTAGCAATCATAAGACATCAGCCGAATTGCTTAAATTGTTTGCACTTATGATAGAATCTGGAAATATCAGTTCAAGGACATGTAAGCAAGGTTTGCACATGGGAAATAATAGATTGATTATGAGGGTGCAATATGCACGCATGTATGAGTCTATGACTTATGGGACAGAACCAATCAATGGAGATCTTGCCTATGAGTCTATGACTAATCACACAATGTGCAGGGGCTCAAGGCCTGGTGCGGCATGTCACATGTCAGCCCCAAATGGCCAGCCGAACTAGGGCACTGACCATCTGTCTAACAGATTAGGTTTTTAAGCAACTAAGTGGACAAATAGATGTTAACACTTTTTATTCATGCTTTAACTTCATCACCTACAAATCCTCTAGCTTCTGCGATTCCATTTCTGGATTAGATGTTACATGGTAGCATGGTGCCTGAAAGAGCATGCGGAAAGGTAATGAGATATTCCATGATACGCCTATATGAACAATCCATACACTAGACTAGGGGTAGAGCAGTACTTGAGATGCTCAGTTTAATGTATTTGATTGGACAAAATAGCTTCTAATCGAGAACGCATTTAAGTAGCTACGAGAGCCTAGATTAGTCAATTCCATTCATGTGGTATGTGAGCTTGATTCTTCAAAATTACATCCAGAAGATCAGAGAATGGTATGTGAACGGTAAGCGAATCTGCATTGAAGGATGGCACAGAAGGGAAAACGCCAAAAGGTTGGCGGTTGAAAAACATCGGCAAACTTCCTACCAGTTTTTTTTTTTTTTGAAAGATCCATATCAATCGACATGGCCCCATGGATAACCCTATAATTCCAGGCACTTGGTCTAACGCAAGCTCACTTTACTCAGAGAGCTGAATGAACAATAGAAAATTTCGCACTAAAAAGTTCGTAAATTGAAAGCCGAACGATTTGTGCGCAAACAAAATGTAGCAAAAATACCAATTTCTCACCCAACCCGTCTACTCTCACGGAGACAAGAAAAGAGTCTATACGCATACTTTTTTGAGTAGTAATTCCCCATCCTTACCTGATCCCCGGGCTTGAGATTGCAGGCACGCATAATGCAGTTAGCGAGGGAAAACGCCGAGCTTTCCTGAGTCCTGATGATGCCGGCCCACCGGGACTGGCAAGGGTGCTACCGGCGGCGGCTCAAAGACCTAACGGAGCAAGCATCTGGTCCCAGCACATCAGCTCGGAGGACTCGCCGCCGCTGAACCTCAGCAGATCCCGCCGTCGCATTCGGCGGCGACTCCTCGGCGGCCAGCTGGGAATGGGAAAGGCTTGGGCCGAATCTTTCACACAAAGTCCAGACGTTAACGGCCCACAGCTCTGCCAGATTGGCCCATTAATTCCAGATAATTCATTTTTCTTTTGTGGTAGCTTTTTGTTTTTTGCCTAAACTAGATTCAACACGACCTTCGACTTATTATACAACACCTGTACTATGTACTCATTTGTGTGTGTATATAATATATATAATGCCATATTTTTAATATTTTGTAATCTTGTATTAAATATTTCAGCCCTCAAATGATTTAAATGAAAAAAATTTAACTATAAAAGTTTTTATCTTCTTGAGGTCTACCATTTTAATGTAGGTGTGTATCCATCTGAATAGTTTGAAAAAATAAAAATTTTGAATATTAATATCTAAGATTTTTAAACAAATATATGAGACTTTAAATGTCTTCAAATCAAAAACTTGTAAACTGCAAAATTGTAGATTTCATTGACAACTACAAGTTTGATATAGATCATATCATGTCGAATGTCATTTGAAATTTCTAAATTTTGAAATTTCAAAATCTTAGAAATTAAAATGAATATTTAGAAATATAATTTACTTCAAATCAAAATTTGTTAAATATGAGGTTATTGATCGTATTGGGAACTACAACTTAGGTTGTTTAAAAATTCTAATTCTAAAATTTAAAATTTGAGAGTTAAAAAATAATTTTTGGGACTCTAATAAAAAAAATTATCAACTATAAAGTTATGGATTATGTCAAGCTTTACAATTTTTATATAAAGTTTGTCTTCATCTTAGTTGTTATGAAAAGTTATGAATTTTTTTAGACAACTGTTTTTACAGATGGACCCTTAAAAATTAGACAATTATTTTTAGAGGGATGGAGCCTTAGAATGGCCACCTCTATTAATCTATTTCTTGAAGTGGACCTTTAGAATGCTCACCTCTGTTAATAGTCGATTAACAGAGACGGGCTATTAATAGTCAATTAACATAGGCGGTCTCCTTAGGTGCATGCCTCTGTAAATGATTAACAGAGTCGTGAGTTTTGTTGAAGCTTGTCTGACCATTTACATATGCATCTTTATAAAATGCTTGCATCTCTTAATCAGATGGTCTGACTCCTAAAATCATTCCTGTAATGGTGTGTGTGTGTGTGTATATATATATATATATAATATTAAATAGTGAAAATTTATTTCTCTAAAATTTGGTCCATTGCACATACCGACAAACACTCTCTCTCCAGGTGACTTGACGACGAACTTAGGCATTGGTAAAAAGATAACGACAAATTTTCTCCAAACCATAGTACACAACCATGACTAAGTTGACCTAGGGTACTCAGTAGTCACCTAGTCGCCACTATCATACTGCGCCTGGGGTTCTATTTTCGGTTTCCT